CAGAGAGCTCGCAAGTCGGAGGCGGGTCCCATAGCGCTGGAGAAACTACGTGAACTGCGTCGAACACAAAACACTTCGGAGGGAGACCACACAGCTGACAGACTCTATTACACGAGCCTCAAGCTTGACGCCAAGCTTCTAGAAAACTTTCCCGTAACAGGAGACTCGATGGATCATCTCAAAGCTGCACTCAACCGCAAGCACCCTTTCGAGACGGGCATAACTCTACCGCTGTCTCTCGAAGCAGCTATTGAAACCCAACTCTCTTTGACCCCCGATGAGATCATCCGGCGTCGGAAGCTCACCATGGAAGCAATCAAGAAGCGAGCGGTAGCATTGGAGTCAGCAACTACTACTTCGCAGGCCTCCATGCACTCCGATGTCGCAAAGATCGCCGGCAACCTGAATTTGGACCTCCTGGAGGAACTCATAGACTTGACGGAGTATCCAGACAGAGCCCTGGTCGAAGACCTCCGAAATGGCATGCCGGTAGTCGGTCACATTACGGTGTCGCCCGGGGTATTCGCGCCCCCTCGCCCCCCGATGGACTCGGATGGCAAAGAAAGGGTCATCTCTCTCGATGAGTTGCACAGCAGAGCAAGGTCCGCCCGAGCTGGTATCATCAACTCCATTTGCGAGGAAGGCTTCAAAGCGGAGGTTTGGGAAGGCACCCTTCAAGAAGTGGAGAAAGGACACTTGGAAGGTCCTTTAGAGCTGGCCGCTATCGAATCGTCCTTCGAAAACCCGGTCATTGTTAGACGCTTTCCTGTCCACCAAAGTGATAAAACTCGCCTTTGCGATGATTATAAACGGAGCCACACAAATTTGGCTACGTCCTTTGGGCAGCGCGTGACCCTGCCCACCCACCAGACTCTGATCGGTGCATGGAGACGTCTGAGCAGGGCTGCCGACGGCTGCAATTTCCAGATCTTCAAGGGTGATCACGAGAATGCCTATCGGCAGGTACCGACTCATCCGGATCATGCTCAATATCAATTGATCTGTATTGCTGATCCTGACAACAAACCGGCCATATTCCGCCATCGAGCCGCATCTTTTGGGTCCAGCTCGAGCGTAACCTCATATTGTCGGGTATCCCAATGCTTGGTGCACCTCTTACGGGTCCTCTTCTGCTTGGCTGCTATGTCGTTCATCGATGACTATTGGTCAGTAGAGCGGAGTGAAACATCACCCTCCGCTTTGGAATGCTGGATCTTCCTCAATGAAGTTATCGGCTTCCGCGAGAAAGTGACCAAACGGACTCCGCCCAGCAATGACATCGATCTGCTCGGCTTAGGAGTCAAGTTAGACAGAGAATCTCTCACCTTGAGCCTCCCAGAGGAGAAGCGAATCTCTCTCGAGACACTGATG